TCCTGATTTTTGAGAGAGATTTTTCTTTTTAAAGTATTATCATAATGTCTACTTTTATATTTTTTCTTAATTTAACAAAGATATATTTAATGGTTTTATCCACCACTATGTACAAATAATTCTATGTGCAAAACCATTTTGAACATAATATGTAAATTAATTTTTCCACCCAAGTTCGATTTCTTAAAGTAGTGATGTACTTCCAACATTTTGCAAATAGTTTTTAGTCACTGTAAAAAAAAAAAGGAATTGTAGTTGTAGTTAATTACATTCATAACAAAGTAGTTGTAGTTAACTACAAAATTAATGTAGTTTATCCAACTACTGACCTAGTATTTCAAGACAAAAGCCAATAATTTGAAATTAATTCAGCGAAATATTTTTATTCAGTGGTTTTTCGCTAGAATTATAGAACTGCCGCTAGTATTTGAATTTTACCATCTATAGTAAAATAATTGAAACAGAAATTTTAAGTGTCAAATCGCCATTTTTTTTAGATACGGACAGCACTTCACTTATAATAAGTGAGAAAAATTTAAAAACTTTCATTGAAATTTAAAATTATGCTTTGCAGTTATATCATTAAAAAAAATTGAAAATAAATCAAATATAATAATGTTTTAGTTAGCTATGTTAAATATATTGCAAGAAAATAAGTGCACACATTTTAAATGAAAAAATTTTATTTGGAATTGAAAACTGAGCTTTGCTGCTCCAAATTAAAAAAACAAAAAGCATTTTTTCAAACAAAGGAAAAAAAATACACATTAGAATGTTTTAGTAAGCTGTAGCAATTAAAAATATTGCATCTAAAAAAAGTGCACCACCTTCTGTAATATTCAGGCTATTTTCTCATGGAGCAAAACAAACAGCAAAAAAACAGTATCAAAAAGAGTAATAAAATTATTTTTTGTCACAAACTTTTTGAAATATTGTATGTATAAAATAAAAATTAAATTGATCTTAATAAAATTGAAGTCTATGAAAATGGACAATATTTATCTCTTAAACAGTACACTTCAAATAAATTAATCACAGTTTACAAGACATATTAAAACAAAAATATATATAAAAATTAATCCTTACGGAGACATACTGATAAGAACAAACAATAAGAGTAAATAACTAAATCAATATAATTTATAAAAAATAACTCCATTTATATTTTGTTAGGTAAATTTTTTGATACTATCAATAAATTTTCATAAAAAATTAAAAAACCTTTAATTAGATAAGTCATTTTTAAACACAACATATTATATATTTAATATTTTAAAGGCAAAGTCACAAAGCATTAAGGTGTTGTAAAATAGCTATGTATGTAATAGTTGGAGTATTAGCTGTACTAAAACCTGCAGAGCATGTAATTTTTATTTGTAGATGTTACCATGAATGTCCGAAATCAAGAGAATGTTGGTTTTTACCGGTGAATGTCAACAATCACACCGTCGCTTTGGTGAATGTCTGAATTATTTGTTATATCCAATTTGATATATTAGTTTATTCCTTTATATTATTATATTTATTCGATATTTTAAAATCTTCTGAGGATAGATTAGGAGAAACATCATTGTTCGGAGTACCTGTTAAATGCATACTGAACAGTAGCACTTGACCAAAAAAAAAACATTGATGAAGGGCATACCGGGCAAATGTATACCGAGGAGTGGCACTAAACTACACCTAGTATATATTTTGGATACTTACCACAACCACTATGTGATTGTCAACATTCACTGGTGGAAATCAACAAATACCAATTTTGGTCATTCACAATAACATAGACGATTGTTGCAATTTATCTATAAGTAGCACATCATAAGTTAATTTTAACTTTTTAGTAGTCATAATGACCTACATAACAATGCAAATTAAAACAATGTAAGCAGAAAAATAAGAACAGTTTGAGATCTCTCATCAATGTCACAAATATGCTTAAGTAGTTTAACAATGAAACAGGCTAAGTGGAAGTGTTCAAGGGTTTATGAAATACAGTGGAATCCCGATTTTACATTAACCTTTAGATTAGTGTTATAAAATGCACAAAAAGAATACAATTTCAACAATATCCTTCCTGATACTTACTATTGGTTACAAATTCGCTTTTTGGTTTACATTTGCAAATAAATATAGCTTCAGAATTTTTATTTCTTGAAACTTTTGATCAGTTGTGGTTATACCCTCCGATATTTTCTTAAATGTTTTCATAATAACCATCGGCCGACCGGCCTGTGTATGGGTCAGGGAACTGCCCTTGCATCAGAAAGGTTCTGGGTCCAAATCCCGGGCAAGGCATGGATGTTCTTTCCTTCTCTGTACTATCTGTGCCCTTACTGTGGGAGCAGCGTTGGCCCACCTAATATGGTGCCCCTAAAAGAGTGGTCAACAAATCTGCCCTTCAGATGCCTGTATGATGAAAGGTCATTCTCCAGATGGGCATTGGAAAAAATAAATTTAAAAAAGAACAACCATTTGGAGCAGGAATTAAATAAGATAAAGCAATGGGGATGCGTGCTGCAGTCAATATACACATTATAGACTTTGGAAGGTCATCAGCCATGCAATTTCTGGAGGGCCTATGTTCCCGTTGGATACCGAAAAAACTGATTTATTAAACCCATTTGAAATGCATTTTAGTCGACGCTGTCTAACACTGTAGAAATTCGATTCAAAATTTCCAGAACACTTATTTTTGCTTTAGAGGCATCTTGAAAGTCACTGGAATTAACAAAAAGTAAAGATTATCTAACCAATTGCTGAGTGTAACATTCCTTAAATTATTGGATCATTTTAAGATTCAGAGATTGAAGTGAGCTGGAAAACATTTCACTTACAGGTTTTATAATTTAAGCTCCAATACTTCATTTAACCAACCTTTCCTGTACGATGCCCATCCCACCATCTTTCTGATTTTGACTCAAGGGGTGAATCCCCTCTTACAGACAAGACAATCAGATAGAATTAGACAAGATAGATAGACAAGACAATCAGAAAAAATAAATCTAAAAAGGTTTGTTCGATCTTTGTAGAGATAAAATAATTTTGATCTGTTAGAGAAAAGTATAATGTGGGATTTTCTTAGAAGGGTAAAGTAAAATCTGGGATAATTTAACATTATCGGTATAGGTAATTCTCACCAACCAACAGAAAACCTAAGAAACAGGATAACACAGCATAATATACAGTACAGGATTACCCTAAGAAACAGGATAACACAACATAATAATACCAAGATTCCACTGTATTAACAAAATAATAAGTATAATCAAAAATTTAAACAAAGAAGCACAAATGAAAAAAATTTTAGAACTCTTGTTAGTGTGGTAAACATGTTTTAAGTAGCACAATGCATTTCTGTTATATTCAAGCTATTTCCTTTATAGAACTATCATTAACAGTAAAAAACAAAAAGAATGGTATGGAATGTTTCTTCACTAACCTTTTGAAATATAGTTTATATATGGAGTAAAACTTTAATTGATGTTTACTGAAGTTAAGTCTAGGAAAATAAATTATTTAATGCCTCTAAAACAATGCAAACTTCAAAATATAATACAAAATAATCACAGTTTACAAGAAATATTCATACAAAAAATACATTTATAAAATAGGTCATTCTAGAGAGAAAATCACAACATGCTGATAAGCACAAATAATAAAAGTAAATAATAAAAACAACACAATTTATAAACATAGCTACATGCACATCCTGCTAAGTAATTTTTTTTTCAAACTTAACAGTTAAACACACATCTTCATAAAACAAAGAAAAGACTTTCAATATAAAAACTTGTTTTTGAACGCAAAATTTTATAGGCGCAAAATTTTATATAAAATTATATTATGAAATTAATTATCGTGTACCATTTGTAGAAAAATATACAATATTCATTAGAGCAAATTAGTTTTATTATTATATATTATTATAGCATTAGTATGTATTATTATAGGTACATTATAATTTTTATTATTAGACACTATTATAGCACTAATGTGCATTATTATAGGTATGTTATAATTTTGATTATTATAGGTATATCATAATTTTTATTATTACATATTAAAATAGCATTAATATGTATTATTAGAGGTATATTATAATATTTATTTTTATGTATTATAATTTTATTATTATTATGATATATTATCATGCGTATAATGGAATAACCAAGAAAGTAATGGTTCCCATAACATTTTTAAAAAATATCTAATATTTATTAGAGAATATTATTTTAATAATTACTGTAGAGCATATCTTTAAGTAGAACATAGCTAACAACATAAGTTTTAAAACATATAATAGAATCAAAATAAGAAAACAATATAACGGAAGTTAAGTTTATAAACTTATAAAAAGCAATGCTTGTTTCCAAATTTCAGAGATATACTATGTAAGCATGAAAAAGTTCTTAAAACAAAGAATTTTATACAGAATATTATATATATTAAAATAGCATTAATATGCATTATTAGAGGTATATTATAATATTTATTTTTATGTAATATAATTTTATTATTATATATTATCATGGGTATAATGGAATAACCAAGAAAGTAATGATTCCCATAACATTTTTATAAAAAACTTAATATTTATTAGAGGATATTACTTTAATAATTACTGTAGAGCATATCTTTAAGTAGAACATAGCTATCAACATAAGTTTTCAAACATATAATAGAATCAAAATAAGAAAACAATATAACGGAAGATAAGTTCATAAACTTATAAAAAGCAATGCTTGTTTCTAAATTTTAGGAACATACTAAGTAAGCTTAAAAATATTCTTAAAACAAAGAATTTTATACAGAAAAAATCTTCACCAACACAGACATAAAAGTCATAATACAATTCAAGAGTATATACTATAAAAAGATATATAAAAAAAACATTACTTCTTAAAGCTCATAATTATAAAGCTAATATTCATTGGTAGATTAATATAGGAGTAAAAAAAGTATATCTAAAACATTGCTGAAAAAAATGACTAGATAAAAACAACAATGCTAAAAAATAATTATATACGTCCTATTGTTTGAGCATATTTATAAACAGAAGGGCAGTGTTCTTTCATTGCCAGTTCATACAAACTGTTAAGCCCAATCATCAGTTTTGAATGTTGGCTGTATTTATTCCATACATGGATTAAATAACTTGAATTGAAGTGCTTTGTTACATCAGTTACAGTTGACGGTATGAAATATGCTTCCCATTCATCATAAGGAATAGGAAAAGCACTTTCAGGAGGTTGGATATCAACCTTACAATTGGCACCAGACACTTTGCTAATTTTTTCAGTATCACAGAGAAATTTAATATGTTTGGTTATAATACCAGGTCCATTCATGACAAAGTTGGAGTAGTCGTAATTTGCAGCAAAATCATGCATACAGCGTTTCATCAGTTCATGGCCCTTGTCAAAGAATAATAATCCAGCGGCTACGCGATCCCAGTTTTCGGTGATGACGGTGTTCTTCAGCTTCTGCAACGACCGTAATGTGACTATATCCAAATCCAGATAGACACCTCCATATTTCCACATCAGGAAATATCTTAAAGCATCACTTAAGTGGCTGAACTAATTTCAAAAAATAAAGAATTATAACTACAAAAAAGAGAAAATACAATTAATTTAACAGTCAAGTAGAATGATAACGTTTCTTGGAGTAATCATTTTAATTTATTACAAATACTACTGATTCAAGTAAATAACTTCTGCATCACCTTAAAAATACTTTGTTGGAAAATATATAATTGCATTCTATATTTAAAAGCTTGTAAATTAGTGTATCGCATCATTCCCTCACAACACAGCATTAACCCTTTAAAAGTGACACAGAATAAAGTATTTTATAAAAAAACTTTAATGATTTGCAGTTAACAATGCAGAACAATATTGGAACGTTTTTTCATCATCAACTCACTAAATGTATAGTTTTCAAAAAAAATGGACTACCCTGAATAACTTTTGATATAATGATTGGATCTTCACATTCTACGTCTCAATTTCCATTATTCAAGGAGGCAACCTCAAATACATATTTTTTAACTTAACAGATATTTTAACTTACAAAATCAGCCACAAATATGTACTTCCTCTGAATAAACATACCTTTTTTTTAACGTATTGGGATTTCTGAATCCCGAAATATAAAGGGTTGCCGCAATTTGGGAAACATAGTCATAATAGTTTTGTCAGGAGAGCAGTGGATTTTTGGACTCTTAAAATTTAAAATTTAAAAATTTTTTTGCGTATTTGAGGACTTTTCAAGTAAATTTTTGCACACAGTTATAAAATTTCTTTATCTAAAGATAATTCCATACAAAAAATGACTTTTTAAAATATTTATTATTTTATTTAACAATAGTTGAAAAAGTCTTGAATTGTAAGGTATACAATTTTTTACATCATTTTAAAAAATGTAATTTTACATGGCAAAATACAAAATTAGAGCAAAATCGGTCAATTAATTTATAAGAAATCCAATTTTAAACATACAACTTTCTAAAAATTCAGTTTGTGTGTAAAAATTCAACTTTTTAAAAATTCAAACTGTGGGTACTCCCTATATTTGGGAAGTGCAAATCCGTCAAAAAAAAAGTTTATTTATTAAAAAAGAGTAGTACATTTTTGCATCTGATTTCATAACTTAAAATATCCTCTGCACTTATTAATTAACAAATTTGAGTTCACCTCCTCGGAACATGAAGATTTAGTGCTAGAACATGAAGATCCAATGATTTGATTAAAAGTTATTCAGGGTAATCTGTTTTTTTTTTTTTTTTTTTTTTTGTGCGCTGTACAACAAATCAGGTTAATACATCAAATCAATAATAAATTTTTATATTTATAATTTCCTCTTCCCTTTCTCTCAAAGTAAAATAAAGCAGGATCTAAAAAGTGAATCATTATAAGTTTTTTTTTAAAAAAAATTATATGATTGAATTCAAAAATTTATTAATCCTAACTACTATTTAAACATTTTAATAAATTTGCGATTCCTTCAGAAAGTATAAAATATGGGAAAGATGCTAACGTGAGGCATAAAGGATACTCAAAAGTATCTATTGCTTAAAATAGATTTTTTTTTCTTATCGTAATATGATAAGAAATAATAATAATACGAATTACAATTCACTTTTTAATTTTTTTTGGGATTTCATAAACTTAAACTAAAATGGCAGTTTTCACAAGAATGACCCAAGTATTGAGTTTATACTTCGAAATAGAAAGCAATTTATAAAAATAATATTTTCTCTCTTGTGTATCATATTTTCTAATACTGAAATAGGAGTTTTCATACTGAGTAGAACTTTTTACTATAAATTAATTTTCTTTCTGGTGCAAATTACAATCAGGAAACAAGAAATGTTTTGTTGCATTTATACAAATACTAGATCTTGCTAATTTGAGTGTAGGAATTTCAAATATGAAATTAGTTTTGCTCCTACAGCTAGTTTTTTAATATTTTTAGTCTAATTTTTATCGAAATGTACAAGTTTGAAAACATTATATAACTAAAGGTCTCATATTGTGACTAACTTCTAGAGGAGTTTGGGACCATTATCAGGAACAACGGGATTTCCACACTATTTCAGAAAAAAATTCCTTCATTTTTCCAAGTATATCAGATAAATTTCAACGGAAAAAAACATACTTTGTCTATACTAGGGGTGAACAACCTAGGGCGTGTGGACCACATGCGGCCCGCTGACTGTTGATGCGCGGCCCGCAGGAACTTCTGAACGCAATAAAAACATTTCTTTTCATTTGGTTTTTGTTTAAACATTATAAATTTCCTTTCATTAAAATATTTAATTCAAATTTATATTACTCTGTAAAATAAGTACTTTTTTGGGAGATATATATATATACACAGGATAAATTCATTATTGTGAAAAATAGAAGAAAAAAATTTAACAGTTTCATTAGTTTTGCATAAATCCAAATAATTAAAAGTACTTAATTTTCTGTAAATATGTTATTAAGTTTAGGATAAAAATATTTGGTGCTTAGAACACTAATGATTAGATATAAATTATATTTGCCTCTAACATGAGCAAATATGTGTGCGGCCCTTCGTTAATCTTTGTGCTGTGCTAGTGGCCATTCACTCAAAAAAGTTGTGCACCCCTAGTCTATACCATGTAATTTTTCATCAGAAAACTTAGAATTTCTTTATTTATTATGTCAAATATTAGATTTCGTGAATAAAAACATATAATGGAATGAGAAAAGAAACATGGAAAAGTTTAACTAAAAAGTACAATTTTATAAAATAATTGTAATAGATGTTAGAATTATTTAACTCTAATCTTGATAACTGATCACTGTTTCTGGCAATTCTAAGACTGGTTAAATTTTCCGGAAAGATACAAGATTTTTCAAGGTTTTTTGCAAAAAAGAATTAAATTTTCCCAGCAAATTGCAGGATTTTCCCGTTTTCGTTGACCTGTGGGAGCCCTGGAACAATATTGCATAGCAATCCATCCCCGGAAATGTCATACGCAACTAGGGTCGCTACCCTATTATGACATGTTTATAAACACACAAAGAACCAGTTCATAATAGAGAATCGCCACTAGTGGTGTATGCCATTTCCAGTCACGGGTTCCTATACAATTTTAACTCTGATGATGTCCCTAACTCTCCTATAAGTTTGTCGCAACATTCATGCAACCCCCTGTAATATATAACATTTTTGAATTTGCACATTTTGACAAAAAAATATCCGTTTTTAATCTGTCTAACCGTTTTTGTGAAAGGTACAAAAACGGACCTTTCACAAAATGTCTGGACAGACCCCTGACAAAATTATTTGCAACAAAATATTTTTTCAAGTGCAAATGTTTTTTTCTTAAATAAATTAAAAATAATCAAAATGAAGCACACATATAATATTACTACCCTATGACATTACCTTCCATTTGCTTTTTTTCCATTGGCCAAGTAAATACCATTTCTGTATAGGTGTACCCTGAGTGAGATCAGCTATGTTTATTTTTATTAGGTGAATGTTAGGAATATTTTGTAGAGTTTTAGACAGCAGATGAGAGGTATCAATTGATTCAGATGGTGTCATGAGTACAGCCACAGGGGAATCAGGATTGTGCCTTGCTGTTGATTCAACTGCACATGCTTGGCGAGGAGTTAAAACAGTTGATGAAGAAGTCTCCACAAAAAATATATGAGGTTTCTCAATGCATATAACAAAATCTATAAAAAACAAGTATTATAACTAATTTAAAATTAAACAACATACAAAAATCAGTTTTTAATTAAAAAAACAGATTTTTAAAAAAATAAGACTTTATACTTGTTTTGAAATATGTTAGAACAGAGTGCACAGTGCACACTTTAAAAATGTATTTTCTTATAGATACTTGTAATACAACTCAAAATAATGGTATTAAAACATTACAAATATATGCTTTTACTCATGATATTGTAGATGTAGACAATCATCAACTTTAAATACAAGGCAACTTATAAGTGCAACAAAAGTTTATGATAAATTAATGAATTTATATCACTGATCTTGAAAAAAAAAAGATGAATGAACTTATATCACTGCAGGGCCTGCGCTAAGCATTTGCCACCTTGCCAAATGCAATAAAATCACAAATTCGGCGAATAAAATTGTGTTTTGGCGAATGATTTTTTCCACTGGCAACTCTATGTAACTCTATCTAACTATTTACCTCTAAAATCCTCAATCCTTTAATCCTCAAAATTATGTCAAAATGAAATTTTCTAAACAAATCTGTACTTTTTATTCGATTACTGTCATTTCCGGTAGATGCGCCGCATAACTAATTAGAATTGGATCCAAATAATATAAGCCTGAAACAAACTACCGTAAAATAGTTTTCTATGGTAAAAAAATTAATCATACAAAATTTTTAAGATTTGCATTTGGCGAAGACTTTTAAAAATTGCAAATATTTTTGATATTTGGCTAATTTACTGGCCTATAATTTGAAATCCTTAGCCCAGGCCTGCAATGTGCCTAATTATTTAAAGAAATTTATTTATTGCCGTGCTTATGAGAAACACAAACCAATGAAAAAAGTATGAATATTAAATGCTGAAAAAAGCAAAGATCCCTTTTGGGTTTTGCGCCTTTAAGGAGGAGGATTTGTTTCTGATTAAAATATTTGCATGCCTGACTATACACGTAAGGGTAAAAAATATGTTCCATATTGGAATTTTCAGATGCCCCAAGTATATGAGGCAATATATTTATTGAGCTCTACTCTGTTCATAAAGCTTTTGATCTAGTTTACAGGGTTGCCACAGTAAAAAATGAACAAAAATAGTTGCTTTTAGTAGCCTCAAGCATGAAAATAGTCGCCTCAAACTATGAAAATAGTTGCCTGAACAGGAACAAAAATTTATCAAAAATAGTAGCCAAATAACTAAAATTATAGCTTAATTGTCAAATACTATTATTAGGAATGGGTGATGTCAGAAATTTTAAATCGTGATACATCGTCAGTTAGACATCACAATACAGTAATGTATCGCAATTTAGCATATGTTCAAAAATTACCTATGGGAGATCTTTAAATCAATCAAAAATAAATAAAAAGGAATAAATCTATTACAAAAGAAAATATTAATTCTAAACATATTCTACTATGACATCAATATCATTGTTTAATTTTTTCAATTAAATTAATAAAGAAGTCAAAGTANATATTGGGACATCTAAAAATTCCAATATGGAACATATCTTTTACCCATACATGTATAGTCAGGCATGCAAATATTTTAGTGAGAAACAAATCCTCCTCCTCTGGCGCAAAAACCCAAAAGGGATCCTGGCCTTTTTCAGCATTGAATATTCATACTTTTTTTTTTATTGGTTTGTCTTTCTCATAAGTGCAGCAATAAATAAATTTCTTTAAATAATTAGGTACATTGCAGGCCAATATGCATTTTCTGCCAGAGGGAATGAGTAATTCTTCATTATTGGTCAAAGGGTTGGACACTAATATGTGTTAATAAGGCCCTTATTTCAACTCCTTTTTGCTCTCAGTTCAGTTAAAAAAATCCTGCAAACAAGTGTCTTAAATTTAACTATGGCATGCATTAAACGTAAAACGTTCTCCATTGATGATAAAATGGGCATAATCAGAAATATTGAAAATGGATGCAATCAAGCTGATATTTGCTGGGAATATAAGCTATTCAAATCTGCAGTTTGTAATGTATGGAAAAATAGGCAATTAATAATTTCTGCTCATGAAAAAAATTTAGATGGCAGAAAAAAGTTGAGAAAAGCAGATCAGAAGGATGTTAAGGAAGCATTACTGAAGTGGTTCACCATTCGAAGAAGCCGCAATCTTCCAGTATCTGGACAAATGTCGATGAATTTGCTAAGCGATTTTATGAGACTACTTTTATGTGCCCGAATGACAGGTTTAAAAAGCGGAATAACAGAAATTCAGAAAAAATTATCTGAGAGTCAGGAAGTGTTTCCATATCTGATGTTGAGGATTGCTCATCAGCTAAAGATTACTAATTCTCTTTTGTACGCAAGACGAAGAGTAATGAAAAATAACACATTTTTTTGCTACTGCATAATATTTTTCAGTCATTTATTTGAGTAATGTGTAATAAAAGGGAGAAGTTCGGGAACCATTTGTTAAATTGCCTGCATAACGGATATAGTGAACTCCCGGTTATAGTGCACCAAAATTCCGGACCCTTGAATGTTCACTATAGACTGTATATTGAAAGTCAATGTTCAATAATTGTATAGAATAGTGTGTTACCATTGAGAAGAAACGGGATGATTAAATTTGTAATTTTTTCTTGTGTGCATCCAACAATATAAAATTCAATTAATTGCATCAACTCATAATCTAGCTCAAAGCCACCACAGCTAGAGCTATCCATAAATTAGATCAAAAGCTTTATGAACAGAAGGTGCATCATCTGCCTGGGTTGGAAACATCTACTTGATTTGTTTAGGGATGGGAAAGTGAGATAAAAGAAGCAAACAAGAAAAAATGCTCATTGCTACATTCCCCTGTATAGATGCTTTTAAAAATCGGTATATGTATTTATTTTGAAGTAAAAATTTCAAAATTATTACAAAAAAATGAAGAAAAAAATCAGTTGAAGACAGAAAAAGTTCATTATATCCAACTTTCTCACTTTTTTGGTTCACTATATCCACAAAAAATAACATTACAAGTGTGTAGCAAGGCACGAGACCGAACATTTCGTTCACTACATCCGGGAGTTCACTATAAACCATGTTCACTATAGCGGGGTTTGACTGTATTATGAAAAGTAAAAACTCTCAGAAATAATACTTTCTAGACAAATATTTAGAAAAAACAGAACTGCAAAAGTTTCAAAAAACCTGTTTTCTTATTATTTCAAGAATTTACCAATTTGTACATGTGAGAGCATTTTACTATAAATTTTTTTTTTTCTTTAATGGCAGGCACTGAACTAATCGTTCTTCGTGATGGAAGGTGTCGCAAGTGTTGCTCATTTTTTGTGCCAAGTGAGCACCTTCAGACCAAAGTCATTGATGCGAACAACATTACCCACGTCACACTACCAAACATGCCTGTCCATAGGGTGGGTCACATTCACAGCAGTGCAGTATGAAAATATTACTTTAAATACTCATGTCTTGCACATTTTTTTAAATAATTTGTTTCAAATTTTAAAATGATATTTTTATTTAACTAAAAATTTCTCTAAAAAGTTCATTTAATTTTAGTGAATATTTCTGCAGTGAGAATAAGAAAATTAGTTTTTTTTAATAAAAAAAAAGCCTATATTTCCATGAAAATTTGAGCTAGGTTTACAAAATTTTGTGCAGTTATTTCATATGATAGTCAACATAATTAACATGAGTTACAAGCTTATCGCTAAATTTTTTGGCATAAGATGTTCAAAAATATTTTATTCTAGAATTTTTTGCTGGTCCCTCAAACTTCTAAAAACTTTAAACATTATTGATATGCATGAGAAATCACATGACCTAAACATTTTTAAAATTATAAAATAATTCTCTAAATATTTTTTGAAAAATATGACAAAATAAGTTAGCACAGAAGTGTTTCCATGTGAGAAAGTGTCCAACCCCTATATATTTCAATTATATGAGAAATAACTTTTATTTCTAATGCAGTTTTCTAAAACTAATGAAACTTCATAAAACTAACTAATCATTTACAGGGTTCCCACTCTATGATGTGATTGAAATTCAAGGACTTTCCAGGACTTTTCAAGGACCTCAACAAAATTTTCAAGGACCTTAATCTAAGACCAATTTCAAAAATTATTCCCTTCTATTTTACTAGAAGCAACAATGCTTGTTGTGGCAATAATTAATTTCAAATATAATACCTAAATGCTTTGCCTATATAGAGAGAAGAGAGTATATGTATTATGGACTAAAATTTATATTTTTTTAAAAACAACCCTACTGGTTTTACATATTAATTCACAAAATCATTTTCAGCACAATCTATAACTAATGGTAATGAGGTGTTAATGGTGAAATCCTTTAATCCTGTGTATTTCCATGTGAAGGCTGCATGAAAGACAGAGCTAAATCTTAGGTATTCCATATTCCATGACTATTCCATAACCCCCTCCTCTCCTCTATTAAACATCGTTTCTGAAATTATTCATCCATAATTTACACAACCTTCTCTAAATGTTATGCAGCAACAATTCTTTCTGAAAATAAAAATTAGAAGGAACATATCCCATTTTCACCATGTTTAAAAGCATTATTCGTTATGTGTAATCCACAACTGCCAATGAATATGACCTGGTGGGAATATTTCTCTTTTAATTCACACTGAAGCTTCTAATAGAATTTCCAATTGACATAGGGTCCATCCATGGATAATTGAAGTATTTTAGAGAGCTTTTAACCATCATCCATGCATTTGTAAAAAGAGGACAAAATATTTTCTGCAGTTCCATGACCCATAAATTGGGAGGTAAGATACTTAGTGCAAACTTTATTATCAATTCCTTACCATAATGTCCATCTGCTTAGATTGTAGAGACTGATTTAACGTCTCATCAAAGAGTACAGTGTAGCAATCAACATTCTTCAGCTCATTTATAAGAATCCCTTTGAAGTATAGTGCCAATCCAAAGGAGCCCAAATAGGCTCACTTTGTGGCACTACAAAAAAATTGTCTCGCTATACAGCTATCAGCAAACATTTT